CTGTTTTTAAGTCATAAGATTAAATATTAAATCATTCTTATTAATTTATCCAGAGCCTGTATACTTTGTCCATTTTTATGTAAAGAGTCAAAAACCGGAGGTGAATTGTTTTTCAATGTCCGTAAAACATTTGTCTCATGACTTGTTTCTTGAATTTTGATTTGACGTTAAATGGGAACAGTCTTGCTTTTTGTTTTATTGACAATTGCATACCATAACATGCTGATTTTCGATTTTGACATTTTTTGTGTCATTTTGTCCTAGTTGTGTCCTTAGTTGGATTCTCTTCGATTCCAATCAACATTGATATCATCAATATTGATGATTCTTTTTCAATATTATTAATATTGCCTTTCAATATCATTTTTCCTTTACATTCTGTTTAAATAATTTTTCATACTTTTTCCATTTTATCTTTATTTTATTTCAATAGTTTTTGGGGAGAACAGGTGGTTTTGGTTACATGGATAAATTCATTAGTGGTGATTTCTGAGATTTTGGTGCATCCATCACCCAAGCAGTGTACACTGAACTCAGTGTGTATTCTTTTCTCTCTCACTCCCCTCCCACCCTTTCTTCTGAATCCCCAAAGTCCATTATCTCATTCTTATGCCTTTGCATTCTCATAGCTTAGCTCCCACTGATAAGTGAGAAGATAATGATTCTTGGTTCCATTCCTAAGTTACTTCACTTAGAATAATGGTCTCCAACTCCATCCAGGATGCTGAGAACGCCGTTATTGCATTCCTTTTTATGACTGAGGAGTACTCCATGGTATGTATGTATATATGTGATATATATATATATATATATTTATATATAACATTTTCTTTATCCATTCATTGGTTGGTGGGCATTTAGACTTGTTCCACATTTTCTCAATTGCTAATTGTGCTGCTATAAACATGTGTGTACGAATGTCTTTTTCATATCATGACTTATTTTCCTCTAGGTAGAGACCCAGTAGTGGGATTGCTGGATCAAATGATAGTTCTTTAAGGAATCTTCATACTGTTTTCCATAGCAGTTGCAATAGTTTACATTCCCACCTGCAGTGTAAAGTGTTCCCTTTTCGCCACATCCACACCAACATCCATCATGTTTTTATTTTTTAATTATGTTTTTTCTTGCAGGAGTAAGGTGGTATCGCATTGTGGTTTTGACTTGCATTTCCCTGATAATTAGTGATGTTGAGAATTTTTTCATGTATTTCTTGGCCATTTGCATATCTTCTTTTGAGAATTGTCTATTCATATCCTTTGCCCATTTTTTGATAAGATTATCTGAATTTTTTTCTTGCTGATTTGTTTAAGTTATTTATAGATTCTGGAATTTTTGCTTAGTCTTACTTTGGCAATGTGGGCCCTTTTTTGATTCTATATGAATTTTAGGGTTCTTTTTCTAGTTCTGAGAATAATGATGGTGATATTTTGATGGGAATTCCATTGAATCTGTAGATTGCTTTTGGGCAGTATGATCATTTTCACAATATTGATTCTACCCATCCATGAGCATGGAATGTGTTTCCATTTGTTTGTGTCATCTGTGATTTCTTTCAGCAGTGTTTTGTAGTTCTCCTCACAGAGATCTTTCACCTCCTTGGTTAGGTATATCCTAAGGTGTTTTGTTTTTTTGTCGTTGATGTTGTTGTTGTTGTTTTGCTTTTTTTTTTTTTTTTTTTTTTGCAGCTGTTGTAAAAGGGATTTGATTTTATTTTCAGCTTGATCATTGTTGGTGTATAGCAGTGCTACTGATGATTTTGTATCCTGAAACTTTACTAAATTCATTTATCAGATCTATATCCTAGGATACAATCATATCATTGGTGAACAGTGACAGTTTGACTTCCTTTTTACCGATTAGGATGCCCTTTATTTCTTTCTTTTGTCTGACTGCTTGGGCTAGGACTTTCTGTTTTATCTTTTACAACTCATTGTTTTCCTTGTTTTATCTCTCTAAAAATGCAAACTATGTCTGCTTTTTATTTTTATTTTCAGTGTTACATAAAGTTTTATAAGGTCTGATTTCACTCAATCAGTAGTTATTTTCAAATCTTTTAGAAAGGAAAGAAGGAAGGAAGGAAAGAAGGAAGCAGGAATATGTATAAAGGTATAGCAAACATCACACTTAATGGTGCTGCTAAGTGCTTCGTCCCTGAAATTGGAAATAAGGCAAGGAAGTCCACTCTCACCACTTCTCTTCAACATTGTATTCAAACTCCTAACCAGTGAAATAAGACCAAAAAAAGAAAATAATTGTTTGGGAAGAAACAGTAAATCAGTCTATTTGTTGATGATATAGATATTTTCTTTAAAATACAAAGGAAATCTATAAATAATTTACTAGAAATAATACATGAATTTAGTAATGCCATAAATTCATGGTTAATACATTTCAAACCAATTATATTTTCATATAACAGTAAAAGAGAAATTTGAAAAGCATTATCATTTAAAGTGACACCGAAACAATAAAATAACTAGGAATAAATTTATTATTTTATAAATTTAATTAAATTTAATTTTTTATTTCAATAGGTTTTTGGAGAAGAATACATTTAATGAAAGATGTACATGACTTCTAAAAACTATGAGCACTGTTGGGTAAAATTAAAGACATCTAAGTAAATGGAGAGATATACAATGTTAACAGATTGGAAGCTCAATATTGTTGTCAGCTTCCTCAAATTGATCTGTAGCTTCAATTCAAATCCAAAAAAAATCCTTAAGTCTTTTCTTGTAGAAATTGACAAATTGATTTGAGAAGATATGTACAAAAGCAAAGAATCTAGAAAATCCAAGACAATCTTTTCTAATTGACTTCAAGACTTTTGTTAAGCCATGATATTTAAGGCAAATTCTTATTAGCATAAGGGTAGACAAATATATCAATGGTATAGCATGGAAAGTACATATATAAACCCATGCTTATATTGTAAATTGTTTTTTGAATATTTTCATGACCTTTGAGTAGGCAAGTATTTCTTAGATAGTACACTAAAGTCATTAATCATAAAAGAAAAAATAACAAATTGGACTTTGTCAAAATTAGATTTCTTCCCATCAAAAGACATGATTAAGAAAATGAAAGAGAAGCTACAGACTGGGTGAAAATATTCACAATATATACATCAGACAAAACACTTCTATCCATAATATATTTTAAAAACTCCTACCCATCAGTAAGTAAAACTGAATAATGTAAATGAGCCAAAGACTTGAACAGACACTTTACAAAAAAAAAAATTGCCAATTAGCACATGAAAATGTGCTTGACATCATTTTATCATTAAAGAAATACGAATTAAAACTAAAATGAGATATCACATCACACACACTGGAATGGCTAAAACTAGAAAGGCTCTCTCTGTTAGTCTTTGAAAAACAGTTTGGCAGGTTCTAAAATGATTAACAGTACTCTTACACAATGACCCAGCAATTCCACTCCTACATATTTACCCAAGAGAAGTGAAAACATCTTGCCACGAAAAGACTTGTACAAGAGCAGCAATTTTATTTCTAGTAGTCTCAAAATGGAATCAACTCCGATGACCATGAACTGAAAATTGAATAAGCAGATTGTGATAGATTCACACAATAGAATACCACTCAACAACAAAAATGAACAAACTACTGTTCAACACATCAACACAAATGATAAGCAAAAGAAGGCAGACACAAAAGCATATATATCTTTTATTCCATTTGTACAAAATCCAGTAGCAGGCAGTATCAACATATGACGGAAAAAATGACAGCATTGGTTGCCCCTGAGAGGCTACCTGGCTGCATGTGGTCAGCATGTGGGTTGACAGGCAGGGCATACACTGTTCTGTTCATTTCTCAAATAACACATCAGTTTTTGGCTCTGTGTCTCCCTTCAAATCTCCATTGTTTCTTACAAATTCTGTAGGGCACCATGATTCCTAACCTCTGAAAGCATCCATCCCCTACCTACTATTGCAACTAGCACTTTTCTGACCACTTTTCACCTTCAAGATTTTATTTGAAATCTCTTATCTGCTTATTGTTCTCTGCCATTCTTTTTGTCATTGTGAATCTAATTCCTTTGTTATTATTTTAGTGATCTTTAACCAGAAACTTTTTTTTACAGAAATTCAAAACAAAAATGTAACATTATTGTTTCCTGCCTCATGTTAGATACTGGAAAGTGCCAGTAATTCTCTTCTGGTTGGGAAGGAAGGGCTCATAAGTTTTCATAATATTAAGGAATACTGAGACGTTGACTAAAACATTATCAGAGCAATAAAGTAATCAACTAAGAACTAGAATTAGAGATTCAACTTTAAAATTACTTTCACAGGAAACAACAGCAATTTCTGAAATTCAGATGCCTAAAACTGTTCACCATATATAACAATAATACAGATATATTTATATTAACAGAAAGTAGAATCAGACATTCTAGGAGATATCATTGATATTCTCATGAAATTCTCAATAATGTGGTATCATTATTATTATTAAACTGCATTGTATTATTAATAAATTAATGATATGATACAGGATTATATTTCTTAACAGCTACAGATTAGACAAGGACATCTTATTTTTATCTTTCTCAGGTTTGTTTTCTCTCAGTTGTTAATTAAGATGCATATTCAAGGTTAGATTTTATTTTTATTCCATTGTTTTTCATTTCTCTGTGGATGACCTGCTTACTCCATCTAGATTCTGTAGGAATTTAATTTTTATTTCAAAAATATTTCATATATGGTTAGGTGAAGGTATCTTTACAATGGCTTTGTTCAGTTTAGGCAGAACTTTTTCAGTCCTCTATATTAGTTTTTCACAACCTCCATTTCTTCTATTACATCTTTTTTGTTGCTTAAATTCCATTTATTCTGGCCTCTACTGAGTATCACCTATTTTATATGTGTTTGTTCTTTGTAGCTTGTCCTTTATATGTAAAGTCTTACAATCTCCACAAACATCTCAGAATCTTGACGACCATTTTCACATGGTGTCCTTTTTCCCTAGGATGTTCACAGAAGACCAGGATGTAGATGAGGGACTTCTCTGTGACGCTGTATTCAAGCACTTCAAAAGACATAAGGTGGAGATTTCAAATGCAATAAAAAAGACATTTCCATTCCTTGAGGGCCTCCGTGACCGTGAACTCATCACAAATAAAATGTTTGACGTGAGTAAAGTTTATTATGTCACAATCTGGTAAGCCAGCCCCAAAGTAAGTTATGCTTTGATATCCTAGACCAAAACTTCAGGGTACAACTTGCTAACTGACAGGTTTCCTATGAGTGGGGAACTTTTTCAAGTATTTCTGTAAGTGTTCCTGTAAAGTAGAAAAGGAGGGGAGAAGCAGAGGTCACCGGAGATGGTCCTGCTTCCAGCTGAGGGAATGGTGTTCCATGGTGCCCTCTGGAGTTGGAGTGAATGGTACTGGAGAAACTGGAATAGAAACAGGTGTTCTCCATAAATGTACAGTGTTTTGTAGAATTCATACACTATAACATAAACTAGAACTTAAAAATAATTTTAATGAACTGATTTACTTGAAATAGCAATTGGCACCGCATTTTCTTCCAGTTAACATCAATTTAAAATACCTAGATCTGAGAACATTAAAACCCACAGGGAATTGGTGTCCAGAGAGGACAAATTTGGAGGTAAATGCTTGTTATTCTTTCTCCAACACATGTGTTTTCTTTTTCTTTCCTTTCTTTGTGCATTTCTGGAGTCTTGGACTATGGGTAAATTCCACCCATAGGCCCTGTTGGAGATACAGAGCAGCGAGTCATCTCCGGCTATGAATGTGCTTCCTCTGTGGCCAAGTTCACAGCAAGGGGAGAATGGTCGCCTGGTTTCCTTGAGCCCTTCAGGCCAAATCAGTCTTGGGGGAAGAGCAGGGGTTGTCCAGCCAACAAAACAGCCATTCATCAATTGCCTGCTACGTCTATCCCAAAAACATATGGATCAGGCTGTTAAAGGACTTTGAGGCCACTTTTATCCTTCCAAGTTGCCCCTTTTTGCATCTAATGTAAATGAGGGTGAGGCAATCAGGCTCATCAGTGGGTATTTTTAAGGAGAAGGGATTTACTTCTTTCATTACTGGCTATACCAATAAGTAAAAATTATAGAACTTCACATGAAAATACTTATGTAGAGAAATTAGAATACAGTAACCATAGAATTCCTTTCTAGAGCTCTTCTGTAACTTGGAAGTCTGTATTTATATTTTCTCTATTCAATATTTTTTAAGGATTCTCAAGATTCTTGTAGAAACCTGGTCCCTGTACAGAGAGTAGTGTACAATGTTCTCAGTGAACTGGAGAAGATGTTTAGCCTGCCAGTTCTGGAAGCACTGTTCAGCGAGGTCAACCTGCAGGAATACCCCGATTTAATTCACATTTATGAAAGCTTCAAAAATGGTAATTAGATTTATTATCTACCTTTTGATTTCCAGGGTCGATTTTTTTTCAATAAGTGTATATTGAGCTCCTACCATGTGTGACACATTTTGTTGGGCAGTGGGGATAGAGTAGTTAACAAAATAGACATGTCATGAGTCTTCTCAAAGCTCATGGCTTATGGTCATGGTAAAACAAGCACCTGGATGTCGGCTTCACTGGCAACTTGGACTCACAGGACAACCAGAGCAACACTGGCATCAGATTTACTTAGAAGAGCATAGAGTAAGAAACAGAATCCCAACAGGGCAGCTTCTTCTCTTCAGTGGGAGCCCTTGCAGTGGTCTACATAGCAGTCCACCAAATTGACTACTACCTGCCCTGAGTGACAACTTAGCTGTGGGTGCAGGATCCACCTTGGCTCAGCACCACATGCCTATGGGAGTGTATGTCTCTTGTAACAACTCCATATAACAGCTTTCAGGACCCCATATGGGCAAGCTGAGTTACAGGAGCAAACTGAGTTACAAGAGTTATCAATTGAAGGAAGACCACAACTATGGCTTCCCCACAGGTATTTGTTGTCCATACATAGTCCCAGTCAACCAGTCATGGGTCATTTCTAACCTCTGTTTGCCTAGTAACACTGCAAAAAAGGCTATCTTTATTAGGTTTTCAGAATATGAACAAGAAAGTTAACCCTGGGTCAAGTTTGCCTTCAGTGAAGTAGAAGTGGTTTTGCTAACCCTTTATCCACAAGGGATGAAACAAAGATTAATTAAGCAATGACAAAACCAATTACTCTGCCAGGGACTATTTTTGGTGCTATACCAAACTAAAGGTTTCATTCTTGACCTTTTTCCTAAGAATGCGTAATTTATACTGTTAAAATGGTACACATTAAAGACGTCCTACAATTTTTTTACTTGCCTGGAAAACTTTTTATTCCCACACAGTTTGATCTCAATCCAGTTCTCCAAATAAGAGATAGAGACATCACAAGAGAAACTGGCACATGCCCTGAAGAGGGTGGATGCTATGGGAACTGGAATAAAAGTTTGAAAGCATGTCTGCAAAACAGGACAAATTAGATTTGGCTAAATCTGAGAGTGAGAAGCAACATAGGAGCTGACTTAGATCAACTGGAGGAAGATATTGAATGGTCTGGAATTTAAAGCTAAGGAATTTGAAGTTTACTTACTAGGCAATCAAGAAATACTACAGGTTTATGAACAAGGAAAGAAATTTAAGCAGTAGCATATGGCTTATTGATTTGTATCAATACTAACCTTATCTAGATTAATAATAAAATAATTTCTATAGCAAATATTCAAGTCAGAAAAGGAATAAAAGGAAATCAAATACCTGGGCACAAATTTCAAGTCAGTGTTTGTAACCAGGATGGTCCAGGCTGTGGGGATGGAAGGGAATGGTGCTATCTTTACTGCCCACATTCTCAGGGGCTCTGTTCCTCTCCATGGACTGCGGGGATCCCCCTTCCTAGCTCCAGTGCCCTCAACTCATGTCTTAGTTTCTGGCGCTCCTGGTGCTTGGGTGACCTGCCCTGAGGATCACTGTCACTGACCTGAGACAGCACCACACACCACCCCGTCCAGCACAGCAGCCCACCCACCCTCAGGGAGATGCTGCTGACTCTCGGACCCTGAAGTTCACACAAGCTGCCCCTGTGTCCTCTGTTATGTTTATTTGGGAACTGTTCATCCTCCCTGACCCAATTAAGACAACGTTCTCCTGTTTTCTAGCCTCATCTTTAAAGATATTGAGGTTTTCTCACTTTTTTTCTATTTATGTTTTTTTGAGACAGAGTTTCAATTTGTTGTTGCCCAGGCTGGAGTGTAGTGGCATAATCTCGGCTCACTGCAGCCCCAACTTCCTGGGCTCTAGTGTTCCTCCCATCTCAGCCTCTTGAGTAGCTGGGACCACAGGTGTGCAATACCACATCCAGCTAATTTTGTTTTTTTTTTTTTTTTCAGATATGAGGTCTAGCTATGTGGCCCAGGCTGGTCTCAAAATCCTGGGCTCAAGCAATCCTCCTGCCTTGGCCTCCCAAAGTGTTGTGATTACAGGTGTGAGCCACTGCACCTGGCTGATTATAAAAAAATGGAATCTTTCTAGGACTTGAGACCTTCTCCCCAGGAATCCCCAGTTTCTTCCTTACACTTGATATATGCCTACCCTGCCATCTGACAATTTTGAGGGTAACATAGCTCACAATGTTTCCATTACTCCTTTATCCTTAAATCTTGAATGTCTCCTTTCTGTGTAGGACAATAAAGCCTTCATTGTTGGGGTCTTCTCTTCTCTGTCCCAAGGGATAACAGGAGAACTTTAGGTCATGAGGAACCCTCTGAGCTCTGAGTCACCCAAGGATTGGAAATTCCTAAAAGCATGATTTCCAGACATTGTCCCTGGTCCCTGTAGATCTCTAATTGCGTCTTCTTTCTTCCGCTCTTCAGTAATCCAAGACAAATTGCCTCTCCGAGAAAGTGATGGAGAAGAGAGGGAGGAGAGGCCTGGCATCCAACTAAGTCTTGAACAAGGTAAAAATGACAGAATAAAAACTATCTCTAAGAGAGGTTAGGGATCCAAGGTTCTGAGTGGAGATTGTGAATCAGGGAAGACATACGGAAGGACAATGGAGAAGTCAAGGAGGGGGTTATATGAGCTCCTAACCAGATGCAGGGTTCTGGAGAAGTGGCCATGACAAGACATAGTTGGCTCAATAACCATAAGGGAATCAGAGCCAAGTGTGCCACTAGGCCAGATTTACAGATGCCAGCTACCTAGAAGTAATTGTGATTTAGAAAGTTCCCTGTAGGGGATCTGTGTGAAGTTGTGAAGGGTTAAGAACCACAGCCCATGGTCCATGGTCAACATCAAAAAGGAGACCCTTGGAGAAAGAAAGGCTCCTGTTTTACCTGTACTGTCATATTCACAACACTTCTGACACCAAACATGTCGGTGGTCTCCCCACACCAATCAGTTCTCCAATTCTCTGCAGATACCACCTGATATCTTATAATTTAATTGAATTCTGCCACTAATTGCCCAGACTTGGCACAGACTCCACAGGTTAATAGCTCATTCCCATAAGAATGCCCCCCACTTCAGATGCCAGTTGCAAGTCTCAGGTTGTGGCCTGTGCTTCCGACCAACTTCCTGTAAATTGGAGGTTCCCACACACCCTTCATTGGCTTCGATATTTTCCTAGTAGATCACACAGAGCGCATGGAAATGTCTGACATTTATTATAAAGGATACAACTCAAGAACAGCCAAGTGGAAGAAATGCATAGGGCAAAGCGTGGGGAAGGGCACAGAGCTTCTGCCCTCTCTGGGACACGACTCTCCTGGCACTTCCATGTGTTTGCCAACCCAGAAGATTTCTGAACCCAGTCACTTAGGGTTCTTTATGGACATTCCATTATACAGTCTGAATTGATTAAATCATTGCTACCTGATTATTAAGTTAACCTCCATTCCTCCTCTCCCCTCCCTGGAGGTCAAGAGGTGGAGCTGAAAGTTCCAACCGTCTAATCTCACGTTCAGCTCCCCTGGCAACCACCCCCCAATCCTTAGGGGCTTTCCAAAAGTTACCTCATTAACATGAACCCAGATGTGGTCGAAAGGGGCTTGTTATGAATAACAGAAAGTGCTCTTTTCACTTGTCATGACTTAGGATGCTTCAAGGGTTTTGGAAGCTCTGACCAGGAGCAGGGAATGAAGACTGAAATGTATATTTCTTATGATATCACGGGGGCTACTTGGAGGTGGCAGAATAGGGGAAAAATTTAAATGTGAGGATGTTGTTTAAGAGCAGGAACATTCAAAGAGAAAGGCGGTCTTGTAGAGAGACTCAGAAAGGAAGTGGTGCACATGGAAGAGGGTGTAGATACCTAGAGGACGAAGGAAGGGAAATGAAACTGTAAAAAGGGGTAAAAGACAACAAAAATCACCGTGCCATTAACAGCTCACTTTGATTGAACATCTACTCTGTGGCAGTTGGTTTAATGCTCATGACAGCCATTGGAGATTAATATTACTTATATGCCTATTTTGCAGATAAGGTAACTGAAATTCAGAGATACCACAAATGGAGTTTACCTAGGGTCAGATGAACAAGGAAAAACCCAGGTGTTCTACCCCAGAGCCTGCATTCCTAACTCTGTGCTATCCAGGGAATCTAGAAAAAATAAACACAGAAAAATGAGGAAATGTTTGCAGACAAAAAGATCCAGAAAAAAAGAATACCAAGAGCTGCAGGAAGCAGAGGCTACTTAGACACTGAGTCCTCATGGAAAAGCCAGTGAGAAAGCATAAACAGATGTGGAGAGGGAGGGTGTTGCGTAAAAGGGGGTGGGCATGAGGCAACCAGGACTTCGAAGAAACTGAGCTAAGGGCCCCGGGCAGGGTAGCTCTGGGGACAAAGGCAGGATCACTCTGCCATAGTCAGTTACTGGAGTGTATCACAGAGGACACTCAGCAGGGTTGTCTGGTCAAGGCCCCTGTCAGCCAGGGGTGCAGCTGACCCAGTCCCCTACTCTCGAGGCTGGAGTCTGACTTCAATAATTAGGTGGCATCTGCCAGCTCCAGATGGCCTGTGCACTGAGACTTAGAAGGGGTCTTTAACTCCTACATTACAGAGACCAAAAAGGGATTAAAAGAGAATGGCAAGATCCATACCTCCATTTCTGAAATAAACTTCTAATTTCTTCCTGCCAGGAACTGGTGAAAACTCTTTTCAAAGCCTGACTTGGCCCCGTTGGGATTCCCCATCTCATGATGGTTTGTTCCTGTTTACTACTCTTTGAGCCTCTGCTATCCTTGCCCCATTCTGAAACGTGCTGTGGGGTTGCCTCTTTGTGTTAATGATTGCCCAGAATTTTCAGTTTTTACATCTACAGTTTTTCCATTTCTGGGATTTAAGTAACAAGTCCTTATCTTGCCTAGGAGGGTCTCTTCCTCCCACACCCCTTAAGCACACTTGCTGCTTGTTCCTGCTGCCGCTGAGCCTGGCCGTTTTACCCATGTGCCTGCTTCACCATTTTCTGCCTGCATCTGCTTGAGTCTGGCTGTTGCTTGGTGCCTTGATCTTACGTCCATCAGTGGCCCATGCTGTAGTGGTTGGAAGGGAGTGATGGGCAGCAGGGGGCAAATAAAATATCTGTGAATCAAACCATGGTTTAGGTACAACCCCACCTGAAAATGGACTCTCAGAGCACCCCTGTGAAACAGAAGAGATAAATGCAGACAGAAAAGATACAACCAGTGACAAAAATGGTTCGCTAGGAAGCCAACAAACAAATGAACAAAGTGCCCAAAAGACTGAGCCAACAGGTAAGACTGACTGGGTTCACGTGAATGGGGACGAGCCAAGGGGCCCTGGCTGGTGGCAGAGGAAGAGTCTAATGCACAATGCAAGGAGATACCTGTTTAACAAGCAGGGGAAAATCACACAGACACAGAAGGGGCCTGATATACGGATGAGCCTGATACACTGACATACTGATGACAAAGACCTGGAGGAAGAAAGCTAGAAGCAAAAAACTGAGAGAGAAAGGGGAAGATTTGCAGTCTCACCAAAGAAGAGAGACAGAAACAAGAGGCAAAAGGAGAAAGTAGAGAGAGATTGGCCAGGAATCAATAAAGCACAAACACCTTCATGCAGCAGTATATGCAGACAGGGGTATAGGTAGAAACAGGAGAAGAAAGGAGAAGCAAGGTGAGGTCTAACCAAATGGAAATAGGACAGAGCAAGGCTCCACTAGATTCTCAGCTGTGATCTCATTTATCTCCAGAATCCTGTGAACAAGTCGCTGTCCAAGTGAGTAATGGGGATGCTGGAAGGGAGACGCCCTGCCCATTGCCCTGTGATGAAGAAGGTAATTATTGCTTACCTTGCCTATTTTCTTTCCTTTCTTATTCAGACGCTATACGTTTGTTGGTTGGTTGGTTAGTTGTTGTTTTACCATTGTAACCACTTTTTAAAATTAAAAACTGGATGTATTTAGCATTACATGTTGTTTTGAAATATGTACACATTGTGAAAAGGCTAACTAGCTAATTAGCATAAATAATTAGCATAGATAATTACCGTAGGTCTAATTAGCATAAATATTACCTCAGGTACTTATCGTTTTTGTGGTGATAATGCAAAATCTATTCTCTCAGTAATTTTTAAGAATACAATACATTATTAACTATATTAATCGTGTTGTATAATAGATCTCTTAATGTATTTCTCCTATCTAACTGAAATTTTGTATCCCTGGACTAACATCTCCCCAGTCCTCATCCTCATATCCCCAGCCTCTGTTACCACCGTATACTCTCAACTTCTATAAATTCAACTTTATTACACTCTACATATAAGTGAGATGTCATACATGTCTTTCTGTGCCTGTCTTATTTGACATAACGTAATATCCTCCAGGTTCGTGGCGGTTGTTACAAATAACAGGATTTCTTCCTTTTCAAAGGCTAGATAGTATTTCAGTGTATAGATGTATTTCATTGTGTATATATTTTCTTTATCCATTCACCCATTGACAGATACTTAGGTTGTTACAGATACTATATCTTGGCCATTGTGAATACTGCTGCAATGAACATGGGAGTGCAGATCTCTCTTCCGTATACAGATGACCCCTGATTTATGATGGTTAGACTTATGATTTTCAACTTTACAATGGGTTTATTAAAGTATTGAATGCATTTTTGACTTATGATATGTTCAGTGTATGGTAGGTTTATGGAAATGTGGTCCCATCGTAACTCTAGGAGCATCTGTACTGATTTCATATCCCTCGAATATATATTCAGTGGTGGAATTCATGGATTGTATGGGTAGTTCTACTTTTTATTTATTTGAGGACACTCCATATTGTTTTTCTTAGTGATCGTAGCAATTTACATTCCCAGCAACAGTGTACAAAGGTTCCCTTTTCTGCACATCCCCACCAATGTTTGTTATCTTTAGTGTTTTTTATAATAGCCATCCTAACCAGTATGTGGTGATGTTCATTGTGGTTTTAATTTGCATTTTCTTGATGATTTCAAAGGCAGGGCATTTTTTCACATATCTGTTAGTCATTTGCTTGTGTTCCCTTAAGAAATGTTTATTCAGGTCCTTTGCCCATTTAAAAATCTGTTTGTTTGTTTTTAATATTGAGTTGTTTGAGCTCCTTAAGTATTTTGGATAATAACCTTTATCAGATACATGGTTTGCAAGTATTTTCTCCCATTCTGTAGGTTGTCTCTTCACTCTGTTGATTGTTTCCTTGCCTATGCAGAAGCTTTTTAGTTTGATGTAATCCCAGTCCTTTTTGCTTTTGTGATTGTGCTTCTGGTGTTATACCCAAAAAATACTTGCTCAGACCAATGTCGTGAAGCTTTTCCTCTGTATTTTCTTCTAGTAGTTTTACAACCTTGGTTATTAAATTTCAGTATTAAGTCCATTTTGAGTTAATTTTTTAATATGGCATGAGATGGGGTCAATTTTAATTCTTCTGCATGTGGATATCCAGTTGTCCCAACACCATTTATTAAAGAGAAAGATGTCCTTTACCCATTGCATATTCTTGGCACCTTTGTTGAAAATCAATTGACCATAAATGCATGGATCCAAACTCTCTATTTTGTTCCATTTTTCTACGTGTCTATTTTATGCAAGCACCATGCTCTTTTGATTAATATAGCTTTGTTGTGTATATTGAATCAGGTAGTGTGATGCTTTCTGCTTTGTTCTTTTTGTTTAAAATTGCTTTGGCTAGTTGGAGTCTTTTGTGGTTCCATACAAATTTTTAAATTGTTTTTCTATGTCAAAAAATGCTATTTGGATTTTATTTATTTATTTATTTATTTATTTATTTATTTATTTATTTTTGAGACAGAGATTTGCTCTTGTTGCCCAGGCTGGAGTGTAATGGCACAGTCTCAACTCACTGCAACCTCCACTTCACGGATTCAAGTGATTATCCTGCCTCAGCCTCCAGAGTAGCTGGGATTACAGGCATACGCCACCATGCCCAGCTAATTTTTTGTATTTAGTAGAGACAAGGTTTCATCATGTTGGTCGGGCTGGTCTTGAACTCCTGACTTCAGGCGATCCTCCCATCTGAAACTCCTAGGTGCTGGGATTACAGGCATGAGCCACTGCACCCGGCCGCCATTGGAATTTTTATAGGAATTGCACTGATTCTTTAGAGGACTTTGAGTAGTCTGGACATTTTAACAATATTAATTCCTCCAATCCATGAACATGGGGTGTATCTTTTCATTTCTTTGTTCTTCAGTTTCTTTCATCAATGTCTTAGATTTTTCATTGTACACATATTTCACCTCCTTAGTTAAATTTCTTCTTAAGTGTTTTGTTGTAGTTATTATAAATTGGATTGTTTTCTTGATATCTTTTTCAGAGTTTATTGTTAGTGCATAGAAATGCAACTGATTTTTGTATGCTGTATTTATATCCTACCACTTTACTGAAGTTGTTTATTAGTTCTAGCAGTTTTTTTGGTGGAGTCTTCGGGCGGGATTTTCTATAGATAAGATCGGGTCATCTGCAAATAAGGACAATTTAAAACTTCTTCCTTTCCAATTTGAATGGCTTTTATTTCTTTTGCCTGCCTAATTGTTCTGGCTAGGACTTGCAGTAACATGTTGAATAGCAGTGAGAATGGGCAATCTGTATTAGTCCATTCTCACACTGCTAATAAAGACACACCAAAGACTGGATAATTTATAAAGGAAAGAGGTTTAATTGACTGATAGTTCAGCATGGCTGGAGAGGCCTCAGGATCTTACAATCATGGCAGAAAAGGGGAAGCAAACACGTCCTTCTTTACATGGCAGCAGCAAGGAGAAGTGCAGTGCAAAGAGGGGACAAGTTCCTTATAAAACCATCAGATCTTGTGAGAACTCACTCAAGAACAGCATTGAAGTAACTGCCCCCATGACTCAATTACCTCCCACTAAGTCCTTCCCATGACATGTGGGGGTTACTACAATTCAAGATGAGATTTGGGTGGGGACACAGCCAAACCATATCAGCATTATACTCTTGTTTCTAACCTTAGAGGGAAATCTTTCAGTTTTTTGTCATTAAGTATGATACTAGCTGTGGGCTTGTCATGTATGGCCACTATTGTGCTGAGATACATTCCTTCTGTATCTATTTTGCTGAGAGTTTTTATCATGAAAAAATGTTGAATTTTGTCAAATGCTTTTTCTACATCTATTGAGATGATCATATGGTTTTTGTCCTTCATTCTATTAATGTGGTGTATGACCTTTTTAGATGTGTGTATGTTTAACCATTATTGCATCCCAATGATAAATCTTATTTGATCATGGTGTTTAACGTGCTATTGAATTTGATTTGATAGTATTTTGTTGAGGATTTTTCATATACGTTTATCAAGGATAGTGGCCTATAATTTTCTTTTCTTGTAGTGCTCATGTCTAGCTTTGGTATCAGGGTAATGCTGGTTTCATAAAATGAGTTTGGAAGTAGTCCCTCTTATTCAATTTTTGAGAAGAGTTTGAAAAGGATTGCTATTTGTTCTTTAAATATTTGGTAGAATTCAACAGTGAAAGCATCTGGTCCTGAGCTTTTGTTTGGTAGGTGGTGTTTTATTATGGATTAAATCTTACTCATTATTGGTCTGTTCAGATTTTCCTGTTTCTTTATTATTCAGTCTTGGTAGGCTTTATGTGTTTAGGAATTTATCTATTTCTTCTAGGTTATCCAATTTGTTGGCATTAAATTGTTTATAGTAGGGTCTTATGATTCTTTGTATATATGTGGTATGAGAAAGGTAGTGTCTCCTCTTTCATTTCTGATTTATTCATTTGAATGTTTTCTCTTTTTTCTTAGTCTAGCTAAAGGTTTGTCAATTTTATTTATTTTTTCAAAAAGCCTATGCTTTGTTTTGTTGATCTTATTTTTTTCTAGTTTTAAACTCATTTATTTCTGGTCTGATATTTATTGTTTCCTTCTTTCTGCTAATTTTTGCCTTAGTTCTACTTCTTTGTCTGGTTTCTTGAGGTATAACATTAGGTTGTTTGAGATCTTTCTTCTTTCTTGATGTATTCTTGTGTTTATTGCTATAAACTTCCCCTCTTATAACTGCTTTTGCTGTATCCCATAAGTTTTGATATGTTATATTTCTATCTTCATTTGCCTCAAGATTTAAAACTTTTTTCTTTTTAATTTCTTCAATGACCCATTGGTTGTTTGGGAGTCCATGTATTTGCAGATTTTTCAAAATTCCTCATTATTGATTTCTAATTTCATATCATTGTGGTCAAAAAATATATCTGATATAATTTCAGCCTTCTTTACTTTGTTAAAACTTGTTTTGTAGCCTAACATATGATATATCCTGTAGAATGTCCCATGTACAATTGAGAAGAGTGGTAGTTTTCTGCTTGTAGATAAAATATTCTATATATGCCTATTAGGTCCCCTTAGTCTAAAGTATAGTTTAAGTTTGATGTGTTCTCATTGATTTTCTCCCTGGACAATCTGTCCATTGCTGAAGGTAGGGTGTTGAAGTCCCCTAGTATTATTGTATTAGTCTCTCTTTCCTTCAGGTCTATTAATATTTGTTTTATATATTTAGTTGCTCAAATATTGGGTGCATATGTTTACAATTGTTATACCATCTTGATAAATTGACTCCTTCATCATTACATAATGACCTTCTTTTTTTCTTTCTTTTTGTTTCTTTTCTTTTTGTTTTTCTTTTGGAGATAGGTTCTTGCTCTGTCACCCAGGCTGGAGTGCACTAGTGCAATCATGGCTCACTGCAGCCTCAACTTCCTGGGCTCAGGCAATCCCCCCAAGTAGCTGAGATGACAGGCATGTACCACCACATCT